TGAGATTAGCCAGATGGGCAAAGGCAAATGAAGCCACAATTTAAATGATCGCAGCTTCATTTAAATTTACATGGTTGCTGCGCTGAGCCGACAAACAGCTGATCAGCTGTTTGTCGGCTCAGCGCGGCAGCCATGTAAATGTAAATGAAGTCACGATCATTTAAATCGTGGCTTTATTTGCCTTTGCCAAAACAACAAATCTACATGGCTCCGTCGACGGAGCCATGCAGTTTAGACTTACCCCTGTAGTCTACTCTGATGGCTCCTTGCTTTCCCTCTTGTTGTTTTAAATTGTTTTATTATGTACTTCGCCGGGTGCTAATGAGGTTACTTGAAGTGGCCCCCAGCCTGCCTGAATCCAGGCCATAAGGCTCAGGGCTGCCGCCAGCAGTGGGGAGCCCATGTTACCACGATAGCCCTTTACCATTCCCTCATGGGGCCAGAACATACAAAATATACTAGCCCAGGCTCTGCTAGTCTCTGATGAGTAAGGGGAATATGGGGAGTGTCTTTCTCCTTCCCAGTCAGGGGTCATATCAGTGAGGAGTTGGTTTGGGGGGTTTTGTATGTTTTGGGAGGGGTTGCTTCTGACTTGTGTATAGCCCCCGACTGATTTTTCATGCATCAGCAGCCCCTGACCCAAAAGAGTCCCACCTCTACACTAAAGTATAAAGTGGCATCCTATGACTTGGTACAGAAGGAAAGTTCAAACCATTCTTTCTCTCCCTATCATTCATTTTGTGGTTCATCCTACAAAAAGGATGTGGATGTATTGGAGAGGGTCCAGTGGAGGGCAACCAAAATGATTAGGGGGCTGGAGCATATGATCTATGAGGAGAGGCTGAGGGAGTTGGGTCTGTTTAGTCTGCAGAAGCAAAGAGTGAGGGGCAATTTGATAGCCTTCAACTTCCTGAAGGGAGGTTCCAAAGAGGATGGAGAGAGGCTGTTCTTAGTAGTGACAGATGGCAGAAGAAGGAGCAATGGTCTCAAGGGGTGTGTCTAGACTACAGGGTTTTGTCGACAAAAGTGGACTTTTGTCGACAAAACTATACCTGCGTCCACACTACCGCTGAGTTCTGTCGACATAACGTCGACAGAACTCAGCAGTTTTGTCAACGCTGGTAAACCTCATTTTACGAGGCATAACACCTTCTGTCGACAGAGTTTCTGTTGACAGAAGGTGTTATTGCATGTAAACTGTCCTTTGCGTCCACACTACCATGTCGACAAAGCAGCTTGCTTTGTCGACAGAACTCAATGTAGTCTAGACGCTCTTTGTTGACAGAAGTTTTGTCGACAGTATCTGTCGACAAAACTTCTGTCGACAGAAGCCTGTAGTCTAGACGTACCCAAGTTGTGGTGGGAGAGTCCAGGTTGGATATTAGGAAAAACTATTTCACTAGGAGGGTGGTGAAGCACTGGGATGGGTTTCCTACGGAAGTAGTGGATGCTCCATCCCTAGAGGTGTTTAAGTCTCGGCTTGACAAAGCCCTGGCTGGGTTGATTTAGTTGGAATTGGTCTCGCCTAGAGCAGGGGGCTGGACTTGATGACCTTCTGAGGTCTCTTCCAGCTCTATGGTTCTATGATTCTATGATATGCGTCAGCATCTTCAGTATAAGAATCATGTGGCAGAGCATAAGTCTGTATCATTGACTACAAGGGATTTTGTGCCAGGGCTCCATACGGAGGAAAGGCAACAGTGATTTTGTCCACATTAGATAGGTCCAAGGATCCATGTCTCCTGGGTCCATGTTCAAAATGAAGCGTTACAGACCATGTCCACATTTTACAATACAGGAATCCACTTCCACCTTTCCCATTGCGCATACACTGCATGTTCCCCCACACTGGAGAAAGTTATTTACTTGTTCCCGTAACACAGTAGGCGTGTTCAAATGAAATTCATAGGCATCACGTTTAAAACAAACCAAAGGAAGTGTTTCTTCACACAACAGACAGTCAACCCATGGAACTCTTTGCCAGAAGATTTTGTGAAGACCACGACTTAAACAAGATTTAAAAAAGAGCTAAAGAAATAGATGGAGGATAAGTCCATCAGTGGCTACTAGCCAGGATGGGTAGGAATGATGATATTCTTGTTCA